GCCGTTCGTTGGGGAGGCCGCGTTCAAAGCGCGTCGCCCCCGCCGGGGGCGGCTCCGGGCTGTGTTTTGGGGGTGTTTCAGGCGTCGGAGGCGGCAGGCCCAAGGGCGAGGGTGGGAGCCGGGTGGCACGTTTCCTCCGGCGAGGCTTGCAGCCTTTGGCCCAAACCCTCAAAACGCCCCACGAGTAACGGCCTCAAACGCGGCCAAAATATACGTGGTTGGGGCTGAGGGCAGAGGGAGGCCTTTTCTGGCAGCGAACTTCAGGCCCTATCCTGGGGCGCTGGTGGTGCTGCGGAAAAGCCCGGGGGTCCATGAGCAAGTCGCCGTCCAAGAGGTGTCTGACCCACGGCTTTGCTTCTGATCACCCACCCGGGATAACGTTTGCCGATAACGGACCTGTTCGCTCTTCAAAGTCTGCCCGAGTTGGGGATGCAGGAACGCGTAACGTGGCCCCAGCCTGCCTGCCTGAGGGTCCTCTCATCGCTCTCTGACCCACGGCCTTGTAAACCTGGGGGCTTTCTTTTCGCATAAGGGTTGGGAGGAAGGAAGAGAAAGCCAAACCCTTTCAGATGCTTTGCAAAAGTGTTAGGTTTTTTGTTTGTTTGTTTGTTTTAATTATGGGGAGGGGGGTCAGGGTTTTACTGTAATTGAGTTCCTCTGGAGCATTTAATGATGTCACCTGTCATGTCTCAGGCAGCATGTGGAAGGGATTATGATGTGCGATCAAGCTAGGACATCCAGGAAAGAAAGCAAAGCTTAAAAGGGGAAGGTTGGCAAATACTTCAAAAAGGCAGAAGCCGTGTGAGGAAAAATACATCTGTATTTAGTCTGTAGAGGAGGGTTGCCAGCCTCTCTGGCCCAAAGACGCTTGTACTAAAATGTTCGTCTGCCTGAGGACCATTCCACATATTTTGGAGAGTCAAGAGGAGGCAAGCTCCAAAAATGCTTAGCAGGCAGATGACTGGCACTCAAAAGCCATATGAGCCATATGAGAGTCCAGAGCCATATGAGCCATATGAGAGTCCAGACCTGCAAGTTGATGCCTCTGGCCTATAGATCACTTACAATACCAAAGGCGTGCAGGGGGCACTGAAGGCATTGGCATAAAGTGGTGGAGCAGTGTAAAGCAGGAAAGGATTATAGGCTGAAAAGAGGAGAGCTGTTTGGAAAGGAGTTGTTTGCGAGTGCATCAGTATGTCTTTGAGTTAATAACCCCAAATCCTCATGCTCTGTAGGAAGATCCTCCTCATCTTCCTGTGGAGAATAATATGTTCCCCCTAAGGTATAAACAAAAGAGCAAATCCAAAGTTTAGTGCCCCAGCACAGCCTGTGGCTGCATCCCTATGAATGATGTGTGATTATTTCTCAGGGCAGTATTGGGAAGTGTAAACTAGGTTCCTTTTAAAAGAAACTAAACTGGAAGTGCCGCCCCAGGTGTGTACGTAATGATCTCCTGTCCCTGCTGGCAGGGACGTAAGGCTTCGAACCAGCAATTGGTCCATAGGACTGCTCTGAACCACAGCCATGGTTCATTCAGTCCAACCAACTGGACTTAAGTTAGTCTGAAGTAGAAACTCCAAGGTAGATATAGGGGCCTTAGTGCCAGCTGCTTTGATTTACTGATTCGCTCTTACTGAGCTAATTTGCCTGACAGTTTAAACATAGTCTGTGTGCATGCTTATGTGTAAAGTTGCAGAAGACCAACGTAGTAGGTCCCTTTTTTTGAAGGAAGTCTCATGGCTTTGGAAGACAGGACAGGATATATATTTCAAAGATTTAATTCAATGTATAATTTTCTCTTCTTAGCTGGCATATGAATTCAGACAACTGCGTTGTCAGGAGCTAAATCCTTTCTGATGGGACTAAATTTGAGGTCATTCCTCGTTCTTATGGGCCTGAAAACAACTCATAGCTGAAATTATGAAAGAACGTTGTTTACAGTTCCCTATTTGTATGTATTTTATAGTTAAAGTGTGCCTATTTGCTTTCAGTTTAGAGGAAATTTCTTTTTTAATTTTTAGGGGAAAAAAACCTTTTGTGCTGTTATTGAGTCAGAGAAAAATAAAGGGGAACGCCAAACCACTTGTAAATATATGATTTTACCATACCATTTGAAATTTTCAGGTGAGCTGATGTTTGAAGACTTCTCTCATTTCTGGTAAGCACAAGCCACCATAAAATTAGAGCTTCCTAAATCGAAACATTTGAACACTCAGCATGTTGCTCACAGTACTAACTGTAAGGCATACATAGTGATTTTTTTTGTCACAAAGCTATGTCCAGTCTTGGAAACACTGAGACACCTGAGTAGTTTAATGGAGTATAACAGAAGCCTGCCAGTCTGGGAATTTATTGTGTATTCATAAGGCAGTTTACACCTTTTTACTCCAGCAGATACTGGATCAGGCCCCTTACCTGTGTAATTAATTTCCATCTCATTACCACTTCAGAGCTCTGATTAACTTTTAATCTTTCTACTGCCTAAAGTAACAGTACAGTTTTGTTTTATCAGCAGTTTATATTTACTTCATAACCTGCACTGGAATGTCCTGGGAAAATGTTGATATAATTGATCCTTTCTGAGTCCCATACGTTAAAAATATTTAATATACTGTTAGACTGTGTTTAAGTTTGTCTGTCTTCCTCTCATTCATGTCTTCTATTTATGGGATAAAGGTAATTCTTCTGTGCTTTTTCAAACTGGGTCATATTTGCAGTTGTAAAAATTAGTCCCTCAAATTCATTACAGAAATTAAATTGTGTTTGGAAGCAAAGAACAAGGGTGGTTTCTGATGTCCTGAAGTCAGTAGTTTGCTCAGCTGATTGAGCTGAGTAAATAGGTCGTTTTCGCTGTCTTGAGCAAAAAGCAGTGATTAGTAATCGTTTCCTTTCTAGCATATTTTCTGTTACACTACATTTCTTACTCATATACCAAACACTGTCTGTTTGTTTAATGGAGTACTAAAGGCACACAGAGGACAGCAGGAAACAATTAGACATCATCTCTCTACTTTTGTTAGAAAAATGAGCTAGTCCAGAAACTTGAAATAATTCAAGTCCAATCTTGAACGGAGCCAATCACCAGGGATGGAAGTCCAAGTGGAACATGTACAGTTCTGTAATAGATTCGTCTGCACTGTGTTGTAGTATAGATGATAAAATGTATCAGCAAACTCCCTTGTGTCTGGTAGCCAAAGGCGTCTGTTGCTTAGGCAATAGGGTCAAAGTCTGAAAGCGTCCCTGCTGACAGATCTGTATCAGGGCAGCGTGCATTAGCTTTACTTGTGCTGTCAGAAATCCAGCATGTGGATCAGCACGTGAGCTTTCACACGTGTTAGAGCGTCCCAGTTCCTTCCCAAACTTAAGGCAGGCCCCTCATCACAGAGCCAGGCGATAGGAATCTTGTCAGGGCCCTGCAGTGCTATTGCCTCTCTTCAGAAAGATGCCTCTATTTCCTTGCCGAGTCCACTGCTAGT